ATATATATATATATATATATATATATATATATATACACACACACACATCTGGCTGTGGGACCTAATCGAAAACTCATCGAAGATATAATAATTTGTTGCATATGTCACTTCCTTCTGTTCGATGTGAAAATCAATATACCTTTTTTGTTATTGTGACAATACCTACGAAAAAACAGATAAGCGTACAAAACTATTGCACATGATATCTCAACTGTAACCTGACTCAATCAAGCCTAGTATTATAATTTGTACCATAAGCATCGGCACTTTCCATTTATTTCCAAATATATCATTAACTTAAGGTTAAACTTGGACTTAATTATCTGCATAAAAACCAATATAAAATTGTAAAACTGTAAAATTTGTAGTATGAAAATTGTGAAACATCTGCAGGTTTATAATTACATAAACTTTCAGTGTTTGATTAACCATGAAAAAGAAAACCAAAGTAAATGGAAGTTAAGATGCTTCGAAGCACCATATGTAATATAACTGTAAGTAAAACATTCTAAAACTATCACTTACCTAAACCAGGCACTGCAAGGATGATACACTGATTGAAAGATTTTATGAAGAAATGAGCATCCAAAGAAAAAGCAGACTCAAAAATCAAGACTGGCAGAAACATATGAAGAATGGTGTGTGGATCAAGGTGGACGATATTTATGTAGTTCTTCAAGCTTTCGTGTCGGAATGAAATTAGAGCAGTTATTATCCCCACAATAAATAACACGACAGTGTAGGGCAGATGTATTCTTTTCAAGTTCCATCGAACAAATGCTAAAAGAAAATTCAGATCTTTGTTTAGAAGACAAATTCAATCATTTTGAAACATTTCTTTTGTGTGTTTTAAAATAAAAGTATTTTCAAGGCATAGCGCCTATCTGTAGTTTTCCAGTTTATAACTATCCCTTAAACCAGGCAATAATTTTACTTTTGCTATTGTTTATATTAATAGTGTTCCGACCATTACTATGATGAGGTCTAGTATTGATCGAAACGCGTAGTCGGCATTGAAGATGGCGGACATAGTGTTGTTGAAATATTGTACAGTCTTTCTCTCGGAAAAGCTGTAAGGGACCGTGTTAGAAATAAAATAAAACTAATATCTGATGGCAAATATAATTCATAATTTTACTGGCATATTGCTGCTTTATTTTTATTTTTGAACATTTAAACATATTTTCACTAAAATTTAACGGTCAAGACTTACATATTCAACCACAATGTTTCGTTTATTTATTTACTTGATAGTGAATAAACTTAAATACCGAAAACTATATACAAGATATAAAACAACAAAGTGGCATCAGTTGCTAAAAACATCAAATAGTGAAGCATTAAACATTAAGTTTGAATTCCAATGTATCATTCAATTTACAATTTGCCACTTAGTTACATTGGTTTTGGCGGATTCCACCCCTACATCATTAACCGTGAACAAATTGAGAGCATATATATTTTTTGACGACATTTCATTCCAGCCCATAGGCGTATTGCCGGGGAACTGTCATGTCAGCAGCATACAGGATGTACAGTACAGGAGAAATGACAAATCCCTGTAGAACGCCAGCAGGTATAGAGAATGGACAAAAATGAATGCCATGGATGGAATGGTAGCTCGGCGATCACGGAGAAAGGAAAAAAATAAGTCTAATGTAGGAAGCAGGAAAAGACAGTCGTTGAAGTTTGTAGATCAGCCCCCGGTGTCAAACAGAATCAAAGCCTCTTTCAAAGTCAAATAGAACGAGGGATGAAGGTTTGGAGGTGTTGAAGTGGTTTGAAATTAAATCGGAGAGCTTGAGGAGGTGATCTGCCATGGAGAGATGAGGGTGGAAACCTGCCTAGGTATGTGGAAGCAACTGACTGTCTGCAATGAAAGAGTGAAGACGACGAACAATGATGCGTTCAAAAATCTTGCTGAGGACAATGGTTAAACTGATGGGCCTATAGGAATCTAAATGAACTGGTGGCTTGGATGGTTTCAGGAAAAGAAGGGTGGTTCAGAAATGATATATGATACAGCAAGCAGAGGATCCAACCCACGGATAACACAAGAAAAGAGAGGACTTCTCCGTGGAGGAAGTTGCTGTTTTAAGGTGGATGAAGAAAGGAGCTTAAGAGTCGTAGATACCCCAAAGTTGACAAGACCAATCGTATTGCGAATAACGTCGAGTATCTGAGCATTGTAGGATTTCACAATGAGGCCATTTCGAGTGGGTATTAACTGATGTATATCAGAGCGAGTGCAAAATGGGAATACTTCCTGGTAAAATCGACGTGGAGAATTTAGCATCCCTGTTGGAGAGGAGGAATACCTGTAGGTGAGAAGCTGAGCCTGTATCCAAAGGAGCAGAGGTGGCCTGAGACATGGAAGGTACAGTATAAGGTATGGTGGGAGAAGAAAGAGGTAAAGCTGAAGGTTGTATAGATGGTTCATGTGAAGCGATGACAGTATAGGTAGGTCCATGAACTGTAGAGTCCAGAAGCAGCGAAGAATTTGCAGATGATGATACAGACGTGCGAGTTGGCTTTTTGGTGTCAGTAGTTGGACGAGAATAATGCTTAGCCCGAGTGCGGGTGGCAGAAAGTCCAGGCTCCTCTAAAATTCCAGGGGCTCCACAACAAAGGGGAGGCCAGAATGCATAGTGACTGACAAGAGCACTTCAAGTAGTCAGTATAAAAAAATCCGAACAAGGTAATATTGAAATAATAAATACACTATACTCACGAGAAACTACAATCAGGAATCAGCACAGTGAGGCACAATCCAAAAGGCTCCCAAAAAATCAAATTGAAAGTATGATACTAGGCTACATATAATGGTGGAATGTATATTACGTGTATGGTGTTTCGAAATTTCGTTTACTCACTAGGGTGATCTTATATTTATATAGGATTTTAATCATTTGTATCATTCATGCTACTAATTTATTGTTTGGAATTATTTTTTTCGGTTTAGCATCAAGATATAATACATGATTATACAGGAATTACAATGTTAAGAATAATTCGGCAGATTTGTTTATTTTCCCCATCTTCCTATGGGCCATAAATAGCCTAGTGGTTAACATGCCCGGTCTGTGTATACGAGGGTTGATGGTTCGTGTCCCATTTTCGTAAAATCGTGCTTCGTACTTTAGAGCCGTCCGTACATTATAAGAGTGATGGCCATATCCTACTATTAGACTATATCACCTGAAAAGATGCCAATGAGTGCTGTTGATTAGTTGCCTTCCCTCTATCCGCAGACATCTCTTGCTTTGCTTTGCGCGAAAATTCTAAACAAACATATAATTATCTCTCTATTTAAAAAGTTTAAAACGTCGTTAAACAGTGGATTAAATGTTTATTTTAGTAACAGATAAGCAAAGTCCAGATCAAACCTAGGCAAAACATCATCAATAATTAATATTTTATATTATAGGAACAACTTCAACACCAATTGTGAAAACTGCTGTTTTTCATTCGATGTTTCTAGATGTGGTCTTGAGTAGTGTTAATGTCATATTGAGATATAAGAATACTTTCCTATTTCGTTTTCAAACTAGATTGGCTGCTTTTTCGTTTATCTTCAAAAGAACAGAGCAACATAATTAAACTTGTATTTATACGTTGTTTTTAATCAGTTCAGAATGTAATGAGTTTTCAGAGTTAGCAATGCTGTTAACAAAATTTTTAAGTCGGGTTAGAAGATTACTTCTTTTATTTGAATAAACAGGTTTTGAATAAATTACTAAGAAACCTGTATTTGTTATAAGGCATACTAATTACAGGGCAGTTCTAAAAGCTGTGAGCTATATAAGACAGATCGAAATGTCTATTAATTGTAATTATTATTCAGGTTTAGAAACTGATTGTAATTGTACGAACTGTTTTTTGTTTTTTTCGCATACGTCTATTTTAATTTCTTAGATCAGTGCTACTGTTACATTATCTTCAATATGTACTGATATATAAAGCTTTTAGTTCTACTTTGGTTTAATTGGTTAATAAATCAAAAAGTTTTAATACAATCCATTTTGAGTCTGCCATCAAGATGGATTTATTTTATTTTATTGTCCCCCCTTTTTTTGTACTGAAGAGTGTTAACGTGCTTCTTGTAAGACAAACACTGAACATATTTCTTTGGAAAAGTGGCTTTGAGAAAAGTCAATGAACTTATACAATAATTTTTATCAAGTTTTGACAAAGAGCATCAATTTGTAACAGCTAGGACTTACAACGCTAACTGAGAAATTACATGAAGTGATGAAAATTATTTAATGGCTTACAATGGACAGTAAAGATCGATAATGAATCTTTTCGCTACATCAGGTCAATAAAGATCACCATTACAGACATTTTGAATATCGGACCGATTTATTCATAAAAAGGGGTGATAGGATTATTTACAATGCCCAGAAACATATGCTAAGCGAATACGATTAGGTGGCGAAATTTAAATGTATTTCGTGCAATACCAAATAGTCGCAATTAAATAATTTATTTCAAGGCACTATACATATTATAAAATGATATTATCTAAATTATAAGACTTTATGAAAGAAAACAAATAAGCATGCAATGATATGTCAATCCCACTATATCTCGTATATCTAGTGCCGACGAAGCATTTCGCCTAATACCAGGGCTCATCAGGTTGAGATACAGCAGGGACAGACGCTATTTATATCATGAAGTTATCTGAATAACTAGATTAAGTTGGTGAATTATAATTTTTATCAATTATATTTTAACACTAAGCTCTTTAAAATACAAAAACTAAATATGAAGCTCAGTCTATCATTAGATATGCCTGTTGTCACTCAGATACACTTAAATTTTGGGAAATTGTACTTCTCATCATGGGCAAGAATAAATTAGTTGCTGCATATTCTTGAAATCCTATATAAATATAGGATCACAATTGTAAGTAAAAGACATCTCATAACATCATGCATACAGTGAAATATTATTTCATACTATGAATAGAAATAAGACTGGAATGAAATCGTCTTTTATACGAAAGTGAACTGTATATATATATATATGTGTGTGTGTGTGTGTATGAAATTATTCTTTTAAATTACGTAGTTTGTTATATTTGTGTGTTTTAAATGTTTTAGATGTTTATCAAAACTATAAAAGAAAAGAAGGGCGTTTCTTGTACCATGGGATACGTAGATTAGCGTTTTGGTCAGTGGACGTAAAAGAAAACTTGTAAATATTACAGGAATTTTGGAAATGCCCAAAAATTAAAACACTAGCTTCTAAAACCTAATTTTTGGATACAGGCAAAAGACCTTCGGATTTATTTCCATTTCTCTCCCATGGACACCCAGACATTATCTATTAAAAAAACTTCATTAAAAATTACTATAATATATATATATGGATCGGCAGTGATAAGTTTCAAATTGAATTTCTTCTAGTAAGTGCAACTTTAGAATATTTCTATACATATTTTCTTAGTCGAACCAACAGAAAAAATTGAAAAACAAAAAGTTTTCTATTGTTTATCCCCCCCCCCCCCAGTGGCACTGCGGTATGTCTGCGGACTTACAACGCTAGAAACCGGATTTCGATAGCCCTGGTGGGCAGAGCACAGATAGCCCATTGTTAGCTTTGTGCTAAATTCCAAATAAACAAACAATCTATTGTTCAAATTCGATGATGATGACAAAACCTTGTCGAAACGTTGTACATTTGCTGTTATGTTAAACTTATATTAAAGTTTTTCTTCATTACCCCTTCAAGCCGTCTCCAGCCATTATTAATCTATTGTTCATTTACAATGATATATTTACAAAACTGGAGCACTAAATTATGCGCTTTGTAATGTTAACAGTAAAAATGTTGGTTTTCTAAAACCACATATTCAAACTGACATTTTCATCCAGTATTCCCAACCTTTGATATTTCATTAATCTCTTATTTATTGCAAGTTAATGTTTCTTATGTGTTTTAGAATACAATTCTGTATTTACAAGTAATCTAACAAAACGGATATATACAAATAATCACCTACCTCCGACAGAGAACGAAACGAAAAGAAACAATATCACGTAAGGAGGTTCTCCATGGATTTCTTGATGAGAGTGGTCTGTGTCATTTTCCGAGAGCTCCATGTTATCAGAAAGGGTCTATCAAAATGTTGGCATGAATGTTTCATTATAACGTGGCACAAAGAATAATGGATTTCAAAATCAAACTAAGTAGTATTGAATTTGTATATGAAGTCTTAACTATCCCAGTTCAACCTTTTTTGTTTCTGTAAGTTAAGGGCTAAAAATACAACGTGCTTTGTATATATATTCCCACTTATATATTTACACAAATTCTACAAATAAAGTTTTCTCAAATTTTAGACTCACTCACTGATTAACTCTGAGAAAGTAATGTAATTCTATGAAACATTTCCAAACAGAAAGACAACAATTTATTACTGGACAAAACTTTAAAACAAAAAAGCAATTTGTATCTCTAGAATTTATATTTTATAGCTCAATATTCTGCTTTAGAGCTTCTTCAAGAGCGGTTTTCAAACTTTTTACAAACCAACGTTTATAACTTTCCAAGAAAAATTAAACGTGTTTTTAAAATTTGCCAGAGTATTAAATTTAAAAAATAAAAATCCACCTGAAATATCTAAGATTAATTATTTTTGTATGTTTGTTATTAAGTACAAAGCTCTCAAATGGGCTAAGTGTGATGTGATCACTGCAGGTATCGGAACCGATTTTAGCGTTATAATCCCTCAGACATACAGCTGAGCTACAATACGAATAGTGAACATGTAGGTTATAAATCGTTTCTGAAAAAGCTATAAAGCGAAACATTGAGCAATAAAATATACAGATGATCAAGCTGTATGTGTGTTAGCATCCGTTAACCAGATTGATTATCATAACTTTTTGTATGGCAACTGAAAACTGTCAGACGGTATGCATGGGCTATTTTTTTTTAGGATTTTTGCCCGAGAAAGGGGATAAAGAAGATCCGAATTAGGGCACATTTCCACTTTCTATATACTTTTGGCTTTGAATTTAAAAAACAAAAGTACTTAATCAGTTAAATCGGTCAATTATTACCTTCCATAAAGCATGGTATGCAATTAACATCTAATGAGGAAATTAGGGATTTAATAACAACAAAACAAAAAAAGATGGAAGAGGAACAGTATCTACCATTGTGCTTTATACAATTTTTGGCTTCCTTAATGGGTATCCTCAGCTAGTTTTTTAATGTTATTGTTATGAGCAGCAAGAGATTAGACCGTGGTCAAAAGCAATCTCTTTAAACTTTAACAAAAAACTGTTAGACACTAAAAAGGAGAGTTGGATACAAACCTTCACCAACTGATGGATTACAATGCGTGTAAAAAAGTAGGCAAAACAATTTGTTTTAATATTTTATTTTTCTCAATTAATTTAGCCGCTTTAATAAATACCGTCAAAAATAAAGGTTGATACTACCTCGTTTATTCCCTGAAATTCGATGTCGAAAATTCAAATTTGTTAAATCAAAATATCCATACAAGTTACAAAAATTTGATTTTCCAAAAGTGATCAAAAAGGCACCAAAAATTGAAAAATATTATCAAATTAAAGTCTTTACATTCTATTAGCATAAGCATACTAAAATAAAACAAACAACTAGTTTAGAACAAGTGAATGTTATAGGTTGCCTGGGGTTCATCAGGGTGCGCAACCTCTATGGGATTGTAAAACTCAGAAACAAAACATGAAAATGGTCTGTCAAAAAGTGTTCATTATTTCTTTCAGTACACTTTATTAGTTTACATGCGTAAGGAAAGGTAGGACCCTAAGTGTTATTTTTATAGTTCTATAAAAAAAAATTTTGTTCATTATACATAAGTGTGCGCGCAATTTTTGTTGCTAATTATAACTTTTGATGAAAAAAAACATTGTATTTTTCAGAAAATATCACTGTCTTCCTGTTTACGTTAGAACAAGTGGTAAGGGACAGAGTGAAATTGAATATACAACTTCAGTCATTCACATTTCTCGTTCAGATACAGAAGATAAACGCACTTCCAGAAATCATGCTCTTGAGCATACTTCTCAGTACAAAAGTATTGGCGCTTGTTTAAATGCCTTGGTAATAATTATGTTAATTGCTCTGGTTCATGTTAGTTTCTTTTTCATGGAAGTTTTGATTTAAATTGAACTATAAATTTTCGAACAAACAACATTCATCAAAACACGTGTTCTAAACATGCTATAAAAGTTAGATTTAATAGTATTAACAGTTTTAATTTTTATCCAAACTTTTTAAAAGTTTCGGTTAAATATACTTTTTCATTTAATACAAATTGGTTGAATGATTTTACCAAACTTCATGGTCAAAACACTTACTCCAAAAAGTTAGCTCACTTATAGTCAATATCGGATAGTTGCACATTTTAGCCGTTATTGAAGTATATGTTTTGCAAAACTTGGTTGAATTTTTACTCGTAATCTTTCAGAGCTTAAACTGCATTGACTAACCCAGACGCATAACAGTTAATTATTAATTAAATTAATACTATCCAGAGACGCTTACGAAATGTATTTTAAACCAAGTCTTTAAAAAATGAGCATATTACACTTAATTATTCTGAGTTGGATATCCATAACGTACATCGAAGGTTTAAAACATGCTTTCAACATATCTACTACAACTATTATAAACATTAAAATACTAAAGTGGTTAATAAACGCATTTTTTGAGTTATTCGCTGAAACTATCTTAAATTCAACATACCAATAGATTATAAATATAAAATAATAGATCCCATTAAAGTCAAATAATTGAAACTCGTTTTTATTCACATCTCTAATTTACTACTCGCTGTTATACAACCGGTAATTGCATATAGAAGTGTTTCTTGGATCTTTTCCAGTTATTCATCAACATTTGTAAAAATAATTTCTTCATTCTATCATTAATTGACGATAGGAATTAACTGAATACGATATTGAGTTGTAATGATTATCATGGTAAAAGCACGTAGGATTAGAAAAGTGTGGTAAGTCAAATTCAAATATACCCGATTAAACCTATGAGTTTCGTCTGGTTTCTTTGAATATTGAGGCATATCTCTTGTAATAATGTTAATGTTTCATTAAAAGGCAATAACAAATTCCAGACAAGCACAATGATTCAAATTCAATATGATTATATATACAACATATAAACGGTATTATTACGCTTACCGGAAGTCAAAATCTACTAAGTCCAATATAACATAAAACATTTTTATAAAATCATACAGATATTTTAACATTCTTTTTAAAGTTAAATTTTAATATATTATTAACACAAGATGCTAAAAGCTAGCAGTGTACGAATTCAGTGGAGAACCTCTGAAAGCATTTAATTGTTCACTGATGTTTGTTTTTTTACTATATAAGTGTCATGTACACGATACAACTTACGTTTTCAGAAGCAGCAGCTAGCACCAGGGTTCTAAAATACATTAAATCCTATGTATCATGATTTGCTCAACAACATTCAATGAAATGTTACTCGTAAATATTAAAAAGATAATGGCTTATGATAAAAAAAAAACAATCAAAATCAGTAAATCTTAAAATTACCGAAAATCATTTTATCAACACTATGAATACAAGTATAGAGACACTAAATGAATACGAGAATTATATACATCTGAATTATTTTTAAAATAATATTAAGATAGAGTTTTGTTTTCATGGTCTACTATGATACAGGAAAATATGAAATTTCACAGAAATCAACGAGTAAATATTTGATATACAAAGAATCAAGGATCTTGAGGTTTGGAGCATAGCAACATAGTCAGGCCCGTACGCAGAATATTTGAAAGGGGGTTCTAATTTGAGAGATCAAAGACCAACACATATTGTACGAATCACAATCAGCATGCAAAGCATACTAAACTACGGGGGTCTGAGGGTATGCGATTATTTCAAGCCAAAAAATGCTAATGCTTTAACAGAAAAATGTAGACTATGTAGAAAACGTTAAATACTTTAAACAACTGCTCTATAACTATATCAACATAATTTTTTTACATCACAAAAATAGAAGGTTCAACCGAATTCGCCCCCCCCCCCTGCGTACATATGTGAAAATTATAATGTCAGGGCGTTTTTCAAAAGACTTTGCTAAAATGTAGTAATAACAATTTATGTTACTGGCTTAGTTTTAATAATTATACCACTAACAGTAGCCTAAGTCTATGCAACGGTAACATTAGCTTAAATGGTGAATGTCATTAAACTATCGAAAATAGGCCTAGTAATAAAAATGTACGTCACTGGCTCAGTCACATTCAACATTTAATGAATTAGTTGCCTATTCTCTGTCTTAATCCATAAAATTTATCTATATGAACCAAACATTCAATAATAATAATAATCAACTATAGTATAAATTACGAAACATAGGTTAACTTAAAGTTAAAAACTGGAGGTTAAACCTAATGTTAGTTTATGTGACATTTTATTATGAGTAGGCCTAAGCTCGTTATCTACCAGTCAGTGACGATATAAAAATTGATGAAAAAAAATGCTAACAATATGTTATTTTCCTATCTAAGGAGTAATTGTTATTTGTATTTATTTATTCATTTATTTTTTGTTATGACAATTGTGTTTATCCTTGTTCACGCATTACTTTTGAGTATCTAACCATACTGCTTAACCCTAGCGTTATAACAGTAACATACTTGCGTGTAGCCGAAAATTTACGCTATCCCTTAGTTATATGACTAGATCGAAAACTTTTTACAAGTTAGGCCCTACTTTAAGTTTAAGACATAGAGTTAGGCCTAAAGATAAAATTTATTTACGCTCATTATAAAGTTTACATTACATTAGCGTTTAAATATTTACTAGTACTTCAGTCAGTTATGGTCTTCATGATGTATACTATCAGTTACTTCAATCAGTTACTTTCCGTGTATTTTCTAGTTTAAGTGCAGAAGTTGTTAACTAATAACTTATATTTTTATAGATTTATTTCACTTGACAACAGGTGACACTAAGCAGCATTCTATTTAAATGAAATATTATGTAACAAAAATATATAACCCAAATTACTTTATCTTTTAGAATTATTCACTTGTGATATTAATATGTTC